AACTTAGAAAAACATAAAATGTCCACTTTCTGGCTAGGGCCCTGATCTTTCCTTTTGGGTTCTGTTACTGGTCCTAACCTTTAGTTTTTTTATTCCATGAGAGGCATTTTTTGCAAAGAAACAAAGTTTTTATCACTTTACAGGAGTTATTTCATAGGCAAGGAAGAATGGAAAGTAGTATGGATCGTGGGCTGCAAGGCTGTCCTGCTAACTTGATACATTGCAGATATTCTCCAGCCTTGCTATGGGATGACACAAATCTGCACCTTCAAAAATTCCATTTATTACATGTCTTAAACCTTCAGGCTGCTAAGCTAGTCAGTATCACTAATCTTTTTAAAAAATTATTTTAAAATAATTTCAGACTTACAGAAGGCCTTCTAGAACTGCCGTATACCCTTCATCCTGATTACCCAAATGTTAACCTTTTACCTTCTTTGTTTTGTCATTCTTTGATAATAATTAGATTCATAGACAGATGGGTTTTTCTCTTAAGAACATTTCTTATATATATATATGTATGTATATGTGTGTGTGTATATATATATAATAAAATATGATATGATACCATATCATATATATCTTAGGATATATAAGTTGCAGCTATAATGCCCATTTACCCCTAAATACTTGAGTATGTGTTTCTGAAAAGAAAAAAAAAAAGACATTAAAAAAAGCAGGTAGAATTCCATTATCAAATTAATGAAATTAACATTGATATAATATTATTATCTTATTTGTACACCTTATTGAAATTTTGCCAATTGAATTACTGGTGTCCTTTATAGCAAAAATGTATGTATTTATGTATTTATTTATGTATTTGCATTGGTATGGACTTATGGATTCTTATTTTATTTAGTGAATATAATTTTAATGCCCAGCTTGCACAGGTTTGGCCAGTGAGTACCTTTATAAGTTGGCTCATCTGTGCTTTTGATATGTTCCCATCAGCCTTTTTTTCTTGGTGGCACAAGAAGAGTTCTATACTCTTCTTGTATATTCCCAGAATTAGCCCTAGAATCAGCCATTCCTCCAAGAAACCTAGATTCTTCTAGTGGAAAGTGACATTTAGAACCCAGAATCCTGGTGCTAGAAATGATCATTGCTACCGGGATGTCATTGTGTTAAGACCTATGGTATACACATTACCTATCTATCACCCATAAATATATCTGTTTGTCCATCTGTCTGTCTCCACGCTAAGGCTTCCAGTTCCAGTCCCACACCACAGAGTTCTTTCTGGATATCTCTCTTTCTATTTTTAAAACTCCTTTCTCTCACAGTGAGAAACCTGGCTCCTTTTATCTACAATGTATGTATTTCCTCAATCCTATAATACACAGAAAATAGTTTTAGAATTGCTAGCCCATACTACTATGAGAAATGAATCTATTCCCCAAAATTCAATATTTGTTTATAGTTCTTTTTGTCTTTAGCCTAATGGTATATACTCAAATGTTAGTGTTCAAAATTTACTTGGATTATGTTATTAATTTGAAATACAGTTAGATTCATTTGCTTTAGTCTGTTCTATTTTAGAGGTTTTTTTCTATATTTTTCTTGATTTTTTTGAGTGCGTGCAATATACTTCCAATAATCAGAACCATAAAAATGACATACTAAGATAAATATCACTTCCCTATACTTTGTGTCAGTTTCCTCCCCACCCATCTTCTCTACCCTATTTCCCTTACATCTGCTATCTGTAGCCAATGTTGTCAGTTTCTAGAATATTCTTACAGTGTTTCTTTTTGTACAAATGAGCAGATATAATGCATATATTCTTACTTTTCCCATATCAATTCATGGAACTCTTCATTTATTTTGACATCTGCATGGTCTTCCACGTATAGATTTGCCATAGTCGTTCAATCATTCCCCTCTGGGTGGACATTTAGATTGTTTTCAGTATGTTTCAATTACAGTTATGCAATGAATAACCTTGTCCATTTATATTCTTTTTTGTTGGAAGTGTATATTTATGGTAAATTTCTAGGGTGGGATTGCTAATCCTAAATGAAATAAGTCAGCCAGAGAAAAACAAATGCCCATATGATCTCACTCATAGGTGGAATTTAAGAAATAAAACAAATGAGCAAAGGAAAAAAAAAAGCAACAAACCAAGAAACAGACTCTTAACTATAGAGAACAAACTGATGGTTACCAAAGAGGAGGCGGATATACAGACTTTATAGTATGTGTTAATATCAGATAGTGTTAATGCCCCCTCATAATTTTTCTTTTCCAGCTTTTATCATACCCATTCTTGGATGTTTCTTTTTCTGTATGAATTATAATATTAAATTTTCTAGGTCCATAAAAACAGGTTGGTATTTCTACTGAGATTATGTTAAATTTATAAGTTAAGATGGAGAGAGTTGGCATCTTTTTAATGTTGAATTGTTCTATCCCAGAACAAGGGTGTCTTTATTTGCTCAAATCTATTCTTGTGTCTTTTGATAGTGTTTTAATTTTTTCTTCATAAAGATTTCAGACACCTGATGATAAGCTTATTGTTTATCTTTGTGTTTTATCTTTTTTCCTGCCATTGTAAGCAACAGTTTCTCTGATTTTTATCCTCTAAATGGTCATTGTTTGTGTGTATGAAGGCTATTGATTTCTATATGTTAATTTATATCCTATTGTCATATTTAATTTTTTTATCATTTGAGATATTTTTATCATTGATTCCCCAGGTATACTATCATATTATCTGGAAATGGAGATGGTTATACTTATGTGACTTTTCTTATCTAAATACATTAGCTGATACCTCCAAGGCAATGTTAAATAGTATTGAAAATATTATACACATGCACACATATTATATGTGTATAATACATATATATATATATATATAATATAGTTTTAAGCATGTTAAGAAAGGATTCATTTTCTGTTTTCTTCATTATTTTTATCCAGAATGGGTGCTGAATTGTGTAAAAAGCTCTTCAGCATCTGTTATAATAATCGTATGATTTTTCTCCCCAGATTGATCAATATCATGTTTTATATTAATGGATGTCCTCATACTGAGCAGACTTGCACCACTGAAATGCATCTCACTTTGGCATGGTGTATCATTTTCTGAATGTGTACCACTAGTGTTAAATCCATAAATGCCAAAGCTCTGCAACACTGTCATTCAGAGAAGGATATCCCCCAAAAACCAAAACAAAAACCCCCAAAAGAATGATATCCCCTAAGGCACTTATTGGATTAGAGATTTCTACTGACTCAGAACCTCTGGGGAGGGTTTCCAGATTCCATTTCTGAGAGGTCCTCACAGAGGCAGTCTTTATGCACACTGAGAACCATTGGCCTACCATATAGCTTAATGTGGATTTTTTATGGGAAGTTACTGCAAAACCTTATTTACTCTAGCAAGGAATTTTCTCCATGATTCCTTTAAAAACCTGCTTTATATCTTAAAATTTTAGATCATGAGCCAGCTTCAGGAAAACAAATTGACGATACCAAAAGCTAAAATATTAGCTGTCACCTGACTGTCCATTTATCCATTTATCCATTCACTCATTTATTCACCTTCCTTTAGCACTATGCAATGATAGGGGTACAAAAATGTATAAGACCTCCATAAGAGTAGAAGAAATGGAGGATTAAATGAATGTAAAATAATATATTAGGTGTTATGTTAGAAATATTTTCCAGGAATTTTATGGGTATGATAGGCTTAAAAGAGGAAATACTTCTTTCTCCTGGATCAGAGGTTTCAGGAGTTGATGCTTTAGATGAGCCATCTTTCCAATATAACATTAACAAATAGGGAAGAAATTTATTTACAAAATCTTATGTACATGAAACTTTTTAGGAACGAATCTCTTACACATCATGTACTAGTACATCAACACATCAACTCTTGGCAAACAAAGCTACAATATTATTTACATATATAAGGGAAGGGTTATCTGTAAATGGACCAATCTCTCTCTATAACCTATGAATGAATTTCTTTCCCAGACCCTCATATTTAATAGAAATACCGAGTAACATCAACAGGATAATAGAAAGCATCAGTAATACATGGAAACTTCAGTAAACAGAACATGAACTGCCATTGTTTCTGTTAGAATGGTTCGGATTCTCTTAAAGGAGAAAAATTATATTCTCTTTCTATTAGAATTCATGATGGTTTTGCTCTGCTCCATTTATTCTTAGTATAAGACTTTCCTTATCCAGGACAACTGCTGTGTGGGAGAAGGACCATAAAATTGTGTGACTGACATTCATGCCAGGATAATGGTTATGGGTTGGCTTGGTATGGAATGCATTTCTTCTCATCACACGAATGGCCTTCATGTGATGAGAGGGCAGCATTTTAAAGTACAAACCTGGTACTGCTTGCTCTGGAGAAAATTCTCCAAAGTCAAATGTCGTTAGGTTCTTTCATTTCCTGATTTTAATGATTTAGAAGGAGTGTTATTCAATTGCCAACATTTTTGTTTACACAAAGTCTATAAAATTTAACTGCTGCTGTGTGTTGAAAATGCTGCAAACTATGTCTATATCAAGTAGTTTAGGCATTAATATTTTTGCATCTGATTTAAGCTGCAGCAAGTGTGAACCAAGGTAGATGCAAATGTGACACTGATGTCTTGGTTATCTACTCTGGCTCTGCTTTAATTATCACTCGTTAGTAGTTGCTCATCCAATCATTAAAATACATGTTCACATTTGATATGTTTTTGATTGCCTCAGAAAAAGTAATTCATAGCAAACACTCTCCAGTATGGTTTTTTAATGTGTATCCATCCATATTAATAGTACAATATTCTTCTGATAGCAAAAATAGATCCTGGGTGAGTTCTGATATTATACACACACACACACACACACACACACACACACACACACTATACAATCTATTCTTAACCACCTATTTAATGACTATATTTGTTTTGAAAAACAGTAAAATGTAATGTGCCTTTATTGAGCTAGGTCATATTCATTTTAATACTTTCTTTTTTACTTTATAGTTGGCAATCAGTGGATAAATTACATATCATTCTGTGGCCTTAGAACGCATGCAGAGCTTGAAGGAAACCTAGTCACTGAGCTCATCTATGTCCACAGCAAGTTGCTAATTGCTGATGACAACACTGTTATTATTGGTAAGTACATGGTCTCTAATTGTGTTGCTTGCTGGTTGACTTCATGCAAAAATCCTTCTTTCTCTTCCTCCCAAGATTCCTTTGCAGTTGAGAGGGACTGTAACATGTTATCTAAAACATTTCTGGAGCAGTCTTTTTCACTTGTGTCCTTTATAATAATCTCTGTTTTCATCTGTGAAGAAACAAAGGCACAGAGCAACTAAATAACCATTGTGCAAATTACAGTATCCAGAGCAGTGGTTTAACCCAGCAGTATAGTAATCAGTTGTTCTCATTAATTCTTTATTACCTCCTTATTTTTATTTTGAATCTAAGTACCTAGATTTTGGGGGCTGGAGGGGAAGACATGGGGAGGGAAAATGAACAGCCCAACTGACCATTGTCTGATGCATGGATAAAGAAGTACTATATATATATATATAT